GGTTGGACTCGATGATCTTTGAGGTTTATTTTATGATTCACTGCTCAGTAGTAACTAAAACATGATTTTCAGTACAAATCCAAAACAGAGGCCCATACAAGCTATTATGAAGAAATTTAACTCCTTATCCCAGCCAGAACCTATATGGACACTGAGTAAATCTGATCTTCAACTTTCAAGAAATCCCACATTTATCTGATTCACAGTTTCCCATAATAAGGCAGTTTTACAAAATTTTTACCTTTTGGGTCTATCTACATGTTTGAAATACAAATCTCTAAAATACTCCTGTGATAATTCTGTCTTTTCATGGAAATATGTAATTTAAACCATTTTCTAAGTACTTCAAAGTACAGTGCCCCCTTAATGTAAGTCAGCTACTGAGAGATCTCAAGAGCCAACCACTTCATACAGTTTTCACTAACCTCATTGGTTTCAGGATACAAATGTTTATACTGGCTTTTTTCTTCTCCCTTTTTATTAAGAAATTGTGAATACATCATGTTTCTGTATTAAACTTGCCTATATTAAAGCTAAATCTAGCACCATTCAAAGCACAAAGCTATTAAATTCCTTTTTTTCAAAGCTCTTGTCTGATGCTACTTACAGAGTTTTAAATAATGACAAGATTTCAAGAGTTCTATGTACACTGGTATTCAAAGCAAAAACAAATCCCAGTAATGTTCAACATTTTAAAAGCTTAGATCTTTATCTGTGTGCCAGCATAAAAATTAAAAATATAAACCCCTTCTGCTGCAAAATCCTTATCAAACTTTCATCTCACTTACTCTGCCAAGAAGGGCAGTGTATTTAGAACCCAACAGACATGCTGTATCTGCAACTGGTTATCCCGCATCAGTAAACGCATCACCATTATTTTCTGCCACTTCTCACTTTCCTCCACTTATACATAACTACCACAGAATGGTAGTATGCACCACAGTGCAACAGAGCAAGGCTGGAAAGCTAGGAGGAGTAACAATTTGAGGTTAAGTGATGCAGAAAAGGTTACATCATACTGGTCATATGATTCTTGGCTGACGTTGGTGGTATACTTCTTCAGCCAGAGAAACTGTGAAACCACATAATGGTGTGTTCTATAAGATTTCTCAAAAAGATCTTAGAACATAATGATTGATCATGCTGAAACAGTTGCGGTCATTCAGACCTAGGGTTCAAGGGCAAGACTGACAAAATGACAACATGCTGATAAATTACTTAAGCATTATCTGATGCAAAATGTAAAGAGCTTTTCTGGAATTGAGGCCTGAATTCTGGACACAGCACAACATCCTAAAACACTACATGGTGTTGCACCTTCATAAAGCAAAAGTCACTAAACCAGTCTTCCGTGAGATTACCACCCCTCTTGGCTACCTTCCCCTACAAACTCGTTGTTCTAGTAACTGGAAGATGCATCATCATTCCAAATCAAGTAAATACATTAAGTGCAGTTACTTTCCTCTGACTGATAATGACCAGAAACATATTTTAGATGCAGGTCAAAATCCTTCTGCCCAGCAGATTCTCAAGATCAGTTGTTTAACAGGGCTCACTGATGTGAAGAGCAAAGACCTCTCTTTTTAACACCAAAAGAAATGTCATCCTCTATGCTTTGTAACAAATAAATTTCATTATCTAATTTGAGCACTCAGGAGGCAATTTTTAAAGAACATCCTTCCTGGTCAACCTGGTAAACCTCTTGCTATGATATTCTTACTATTCTCTCTACTCTTTGGTTGTCCAGCCAACCCCATCAGCACTAATAAAATTTGGTTTAGCTGTGGCCACTAACTCATCAACCTTTTGACCCTCACTGTCCTCTTCTACGTTCCCTTTAGTTTACAATAGTGGAAACCTTCTGCAAAAAATGCACTTCTCTAGAAGCATTTCGATTTCCTACCTTTCAGTGTTTGGAGTATCCAAATAATACACTAACCCAGCAGAGCCCTTGAGCCTGTTTTTAAGTTTACTGGTTTGCAATGATACTGCCAGCATGCTTTACCAGTTCATAACTTGTGTAGAATTAAATCCTTGTTTGGTTTAAGGTTTCTGAACTTCTCTTTGACATGGCCTCCCTCTGAAAACTCAGCATACACTGTTGGCACTACAGTAGTCGATTGCAAGGAGTTTCAGTTGAGGAAGTGAAAAACAAGAATCTGCACATGCATTGGAATCTTGTTATTTGCTTTTACCTATATTCACGTTCTTGGAGTATTTCAACAGGATCCAATCCTTGTGGCTTCTGGATAGGGCTGATGCGATTCTGCTTTTGCTGCAGCTGGACAATGGGTGAAGGTTGTCCAGGTGGTGGCTGTGGTACAGAGGGCCCAGGCATGGTGGCAGCAGGCTGGGCAGCAGGAGGGGCAGGAGAAGGCCTCCCACTAGGGGCTGGTGCTGGAAGCTTTTGCTGTGCATTGGAGACACTCATATCTGGGGCTTGGCCTGAAACACAAACAACACTAATTCATAACATGAAAAATATGGAAAGCAGGGAGAAAACCAAGATGGTTTCTGAAGACCTGACATGAAGGTAAGGCTGAAGTAGCATTAACGTTCTTCACAGTGGCTAGTATGGGGCTATATCAGGGTTTTGTGCAGAACACAGAGTTGATAATGCAGAGATGTTTTTGCTATTGCTGAGCAGATGGGGCCTGCTCTCCTGGAGATGGCTGAACACCTCTTGTCCATGGGAAGCTAATTCCTTGTTTGCTTTGCCTGTGTGTGTGGCTTTTGCTTTCTCTATTTAACTATCTTTATCTCAACCCCTGAGCTTTCCTAGGTTTTACCCTTCTGATTCTCTCTCCTATCCCGTTGGTGGGGAAGTGTGTGAGAGGCTGCGTGGGGCTTCGCAGCTAGCTGGGGTTAAACCTTAAAAATCACCAGAAAAAGCACATCAAGACAGGCTACACTCTGGTGTTAAAACAGACATACTAAATTGCAGGTATACCATACATGGCAGAAGTGGTCCAAACAAAAAAGACTTGAAACTTTACGACCAATGACATCTGTTCACTATCTCTGCACCACACAGAAGAAAGCATCTATAATAACTACCCAACATCAAGCAGAAGCAGGTCTGATTTTAGAGCTCTATCAGAACTTCATAGACATATGAAATTTTCTACAATTGTACTAAGAAGTACCTACGAGATATAAACAGCTTTTGTCTCATTATGGTCTCCTATTAATCATATTTATTTCAAATTCCAGGAATTCAACTATTCTAATTACCTTGAAAAACAACACCTCAGTTAACATGAAAACAGTAACTGTCATTTATAGACACTAAGGGTCATAGATTTCAGTACGACATTATAACAAGCTATCTCTGCATTCAGACATTCACAAATTCACTAACACCCACTGCAAGAATAAAGATGTCACTTAATTGTCTGAGGAGTCATAGTAACTCAATGCTAAGGGAAGAAAGTACAAAGTACCCCTGGAACTTTGTAATCAACCTTAGTTCAAACCCAACATCCTGAAATCAACATAAAAAGATTTCTTCAGAGATCACCATTTGTCCTTCACACATCTGCATCAAACTTCAGAAAAGGAACTTGAGCACAAGCTGTAGATTCTGTTTTTAGCAACACTGCATTTCAGATTATAAAAAGTAAGGAAAAAAGCAAGCCCACCAAAAGCCTCTGTGCAGTCTCAGCTTTCAGGGAATCATGCAAGTTGAATGACTGCGCAATTGTGATGGAGCACAATCTGAATGGCAAATAAATTTGAAGACATAACCACAATCTTTAAAAACACATCAAATAAAACTTTCAAACAGGACAAACAAAATCCTCCTTACAAAAAAACTAACAGTAATGAAAAAAGACAAACAGTAAGCAACTTGTAGTTACCTTGCAGGACAGATATATTATTGTGGCGTACTGGATTATTTAGACCAAACTATTCATCTAGCAGCTGTGTACCTGCCAGCATTTTCTGGCAGCAGTATCTGAGCTAGAAGGCCCTGTGCCTGCTAAAATCGTAAGACAAACTCTTAAGAAACACTGACAGCTTTTATACTATTCTACTAAAATTGTAAATATTCATTGCTCCAAGAAAAGCAATTTTACTTCTGATTACATACTAGTATTTCATTTTGGTTTTATGTTGTTGTAAGTAGCTGACTAACAACAAGAATTTGTTATTATGTTAACTATCATGAAGTCATCACTATCCCTAGATTTATCCACAAGCATACATAGCCTTTCTACTGTATGAGTAGCCTGTATGATTCTTAAGTCTGCACACACTTATTTTTAAATGTCTCTAAAGTACCTCCAGAACCTCAAACAATATATATTCCTAGGGGTGTCTAATTCTTTTAAATGTAATACTTCTTTCACTCTACTTTCAAACAATAAAATCAGCCTATAAACCCAAATCTGAATGATTTGGTTCAAAACCTGATTATCACCCAGGGGGAAAAGTTACAGTGCTCATTTGATCTCAGGGACTACACTGATTGTTCAAAACAATGCGATTTCAAATCAAACAAACACACAAACAAACAAATTTCAAAAAATAAAAGGCAGCCTAATTCTACCATGATCTGAAGACTTTTGTTTACAGTAGCAAAGACTACAGCTGAAAGACAAGCTTGCTGCAATTAAGCATGCTTAGAACATAATTTATTAAGTTGGTTTTATGAGTGTCCTTCAGGTAGCTTACATATTCCACTCTGATTGCAAAAAGGTGCTTCATGTTCAGGCTGCCTAAAAACTGCAGCAATCTCATGGGGGTCATTCACAGATGAATAAATAGCTAGACTCTCCCTGACTGAAATCTTAGGCACACAGTAAAGGTTACAATATTCTTCTGCATACCTCTTTACCCTTCCTTTTTTAATTTACCCAGCATCTTTTCGCCACTATACCTTCAGTCCAAGTTTTTGGGGTAATGGCAGTTGTATGTCCAGGCATCCCCGGTGCAGGCCCTGGTCCAGCTGCAGCACCACTCATTGCATGTAACCCAATACCTGCAATTTGATAGAAGAAAAAATATTATTAAGACACAAAGCATTTCCAAGTATTCAAAAATCATTCTGCTTTCTAGCATGCTAGGTGTTCAGGCAAGTACTATTTTTCTTCATTAAATAAGGTTTCAAGTAGATTTTGTTGCAGAAAAAATAAATGTAATGAAGCATATTATGTTTCCTGAAAAAAAATCCAACTTACTTGGTAGCAAAGCCATATCCACCAAAATAAACAATTAAATTATTAAAACCGCTACTTAAAAGAAAATAGTACCATCTTAACCCTCAGTTTCTAATGCAAACTCAGTAATAGAAGTGTTCAGAAACTAAAGGTGCAGTGTGTTTACTATAACACAGTTTTCTTTGGACAAAAATGTGCTTGCTTACCACACCGTAACATCTATTACCATTAGGAAAAAAGTATTTTCTCTTCCTTATGTTTTTCACTTGATACCACACTATACATAGTTTTACTTTGAACAAACTAAACAGTTGACTCACTCCAGATTATTTATCTACTTCTCTGCATAGTGACAAGAGACTGAAAAATCCACTCTAAGAAAAACAGTAAAATTGCTATCAATAAAGTATGATTCTAAACCTGTCAAGCATCATCAGGACAGACACAGCATTGCACAGTGAAATAAATTTTATTTTAATTTTGAGAATATCCTGTTAATAAAAGGTACATTTTATGCACTTGCTCAAGCTTAAAACCAAAGGCCATGCTGTTTGTTCACTTTGATGACAGCATACAGTCCCAAATTATAGCCCAGCACAGCACTCATTTCTTAATCTACTACAGACAGAACTTCTAGAATTACCTGAGCAATGACCCTTACCAAGGATTCACTTACCAGACTGTCTGTTGAAGGCACTGGGAGGCTGCTGCTGTTGAATGCCAGGCAGGGTCCTCTTGCCTTGAACAGCAAGCTGGAGGTTTTCTGGTAAAGGCTGACCTCTAGCTAACATTTTGTATGCCAGAATCTGAGCCCGCAGCTGATGCAGCTGTACAGGGCTGAAAGGGGAAGGTCCTCTGTTAGGCTGATTCATAACTTGTGGATCTCCTGGTATAATAGGTCCTGGCTGACTGGGAGTCATCTGGGGTGGTGTTGGACCTCCTCCAGACATTGGACTGGACACGTGCTCTTGTGCTCCCAGTGGAGATGGGTGTGGAGACATATAACCTAGAACAAGTAAAAGAATCACAAACTTACCTATCTGGCTAGTCAAATTTAAATTCCATCAAATTTCTTTAACAGTACATTGAGTACAAAAATGTATCTATCAAGTGAAGACAGAAGGACAAAAGTGCAATTTGAAGTTCCCTGGGATATCAAGATAGCCTCAGGACCTATTCTTTGAGAAGAACAATAATTATTTAGTCCAGTAATTCCTTAAGATAATGACTACCCTCACATTAGGAGTAAGACAAACTAAAGCATTAAATACAATATAGAAGCATGAGGTACTGTTTCACTAGAACTTCAGAGAAGCTTTTTGATCTACACATTAAGGAATACCCATTCACTTCTACAGGCCCTTGCCCTGGTTCTGTTTTCTGGCCAGGGCAAGGTTAACTTTTGCAGCAGCCAAGAAGGGCACATTAGGACCCTGGGGTTATTCCATACCACCTCACACCACGCAGAGGGGACAGAAGGGGCAGGGGGTACCCTTTGTTCTGGCACCAGTTCAGGTGGGCAAGGTCAGTGTGTGTGGATGGGGGGCGCCGGGTTCCACGTGGGAAGTGATCATGTGTGAGTAGTTCATCTGCCTGGTACACTCTGTCAGTAATTCAGTGGTTATTGTTCATTTTCTTACTTCATTGCTGTTTCTTAGTAAATTATTCTTATATCAACCCCTGATCTTGACCTCTTGTTCCTCCAATTCCCTTCATCCCACTGGGAGGGAGGGAGGGAGCAAGAGACGCATAGTCAGGGGGGTTTCAGTGGGAACTCTAAATCAGGGAATACCACTCCTAAACCATGACAGCATCATTTGGCACCCAACGTGAGACTCGAAGGGTTAAGAGCATTTGATGAGAGTGGTTTGGAAACGAATTTGCAATAGGCATTTGCTGTACCAGGTCCAGGGCCACCAATCACAATGCTGCATTGTCTGCTCAATGACTGTGGTTCCTCACCCTGTATGTACTCCCGTGTATGCACTATGGGCTCCTTGTGATGTTTTATTTCAAAGCAGGGAGGAGGATCAGGATTGTTTTGCTGCTGTACCGTGTAATATCAGCATATGACAGGATAACATCAAGCACAATGAGGGTCATTTTGTCTGTGTATTCAGTGTTGGTCTCCTGCACTCAGGGCGCCCCCTGTGGGAAATCACTGATATCGTACCCAGTCAGTGGGAAGAACTGGGGAGGATGATTTTCCTCAGCTTTTTACCCACTTTTCCTCCTTCAGGTTTGTTACAACAGCTCTTAAGAATTTTGAACTTCCTTTGGATGTTAAGGTAAGTGTGACCGTGGTGCTACGTCTGCCAGGTCTCCTCAATGTAGTCTGAACCATGTTTAGAGTTGCAAAAAACACTTTTAGGAGGGTCATTCAGAGAACTACCCCAAGGGTGGATAATCATGAGTGGCATCGAAGGTGGGAGGATATGGCCCAGTATTTGGAGTACTTCTCTCCTCTGATGGTTTGGGATTTCACCCCTAAGCAACTACAGGACCCTGGTAAATTGGTACACTATTTGAAAGGAAAATGCTGGGGCGATTTCAGAGAGGAACTGTTGAGTTCCTGTTGAGTAACTGTTGAGGAGAAAGATACCAATTCATAGTGGTTTTCCCCATAAATTACTGTCAGACTTCTGAAAATCATCCTATGGCAGTCAGCAATAAAAATGTGACAATCTGTCTGAGCTAGTAACACATTCTTTCTGCATCATTAGCATTTCGCTGAGCACCAAAAAAATAATAAATCCAGAATAAAAGTAATAAAGTTCTATGCTGGAACTTAGTAATTGTTGCTAAAAAATACAAAAATCTCAGAATAGCAATTGCTATTCAAACAGCGAACAGACACTTAAGCAAAATGACAAAGTTCTTGTTGCTTTAGTGTTGAAACGTTTCTGATTTGCCAATCATTCATCTCACCTCAAAAAAGGGTCAGTTAAATATTTCTTAACATAGACTATAAGAATCATTGCTGCCAAAATTCTGTATCAGTTTCTTCTTGTACATTCACAACTGCATACTTGATTTAGGTATCTACAACTACATGTGCCGTTTGGCAGTTTATTTCTAATTTATCATCCACATTTTAGGAACAAACTTTATATAAAAAAAAATAACTATTGCTCTTTATAAACTTGTCAAGAACAGATCAAAAACTTTTGCTTTTGTACTTAGAGACAGTCTTCTGTCAGACGTATGTCTTCAAAAAAATTAGTAGAAAGACCACTATTGGAACATTCAACATTTACATGAAATCTCATTTTGTGATCACTTCCAACTGTAAACTGCATACAGAAAGACTATGGCCTATGTATTTATCGCAGCTATTCCCCTCAGATCTCAAGGAACACCAGTATTTTATGAAGACTACACAGATACTTGGGTAATCTTTGTCCAAAGGCTAATTATCTTCATTAAGCAACTAGACAAGCTCTCTGGACAACCTACTGTGTTGTTCGGACACGTTTACAGTAAAAACATGTTTCTTTATGTCCCAATTGAATTTCATGTGTTCAGTTTGTACCAACTGTCTCATCTTCTGTCACTGACACTCACTGCGAAGATTCTGGCTCCATCTTCATCACTCTGTCCCATCAGGTATTTCCAACCCTTCTCTTTTTCAGACTATGAAGTTTCAGCTCACTCAGCTTCTCCTCATACAAAAAGATGCTTCAAATATTTAATGCTACCTTAAACCTTTCTCAACATCTTTCTGAACTGCAAATACTAGAATGGAATACAATACTAGGATACAGCCCTCAGCTAATTCATTTAAAAAGATGATACAACTCCTCAATTGATATGCCCCTGCTTCTGTATGCAGGTATTAAGTATACTCCTTCTCATGGCTCAAAACACTGTACATGTCAACACATTTTTAAGCCTGCCAGAATAACCAAATCTCTTTTCATCTTTTCTGCTTTGTATGACACAGTTTACACCACTACACAGTAAACTCCAATGCTGCCAGCTGTGATAAAATCTATGCCAGAGACAGAAGTACATTCTCCTGACATTCCGATTAGCCTTTGTAACCAACTTGTTCCTTAATTATTCCTAAACCTCTGTGCTAATCTGCAAATTCTACCAGTGTTTATTTTAAACTTTTTTCTGGATCACAAATACATTAAACAGCACTGAACCAAAGCAGACTTCTACAAGAATAACTAGACACATACGCAATTGGATGATCATCTTCTGGTTATAGTTAAGTTTATAATCTGTCACTTAACTATCTTAATAAAGTTAAAGTAAATTATATTAATTTTACTTAGAGGTATCTTTCTCTTAAGTCACAACTCCATACAGTTACAAATCAGACACCCTTAATAACTCAGGCAGAAAAAGTTTTGTCTATCATTACTGGTACTCGATTTAATGATGCATAGAGGAACCCTACACATGGGCCAGGATCCTTTTTCCTGACAACTGCACAAATACTGCACTGCACAAAGTACTGTATCACAACCATCCACATTTTAATTTACCTTATTCAATTTACCTTATTACCAATTTACCTTACAATCACCACAAAAATAATAGTAAATCTGTTTGACTAGCACATAAAAACAATGTATTTATATTTGTATCATAGTTATATATAATTTTTCAGACTAAATGCTGACTTTATGCAGTTCAGATGAACTTAGAGCAGCTCCAAAAGTTGGACTACTGAATTTCGTGAGTTTCAATACAGCCAAGTGCAAGGTTCTGCATAGGCCTAGAGGCAGACCCCAGTACCAGTACAGGCTGGGGGGATGAAGGCATTAAGAGCAGCCCTGCCAAGAAAGGCCTTAGGGTACAGGCAGGTGGACATGAAGCTTGACACAGCCCAGCAACGTGTGCTTGCAGCCCAGGAAGCCAAGAACATCCTGGCCTGCATCACAAGACCCATGGGCAGCAGATTGTAGGAGGTGATTCTGCCCCTCTACAGTGCTCCAGTGAGACCCCACCTGAAGTAATGCATCCAGCTTTGGAGCCCTCAGCACAGGAAAAATGGATCAGTTAGAGCAGGACCACAGAAGAGACATGAATATGATCAGAGGACTGTAACACCTCTCTTACAAAGACAGGCTAAGAGAGTTAGGGTTGCTCAGCCCAGAGAAGTGAAGGTTCCAGGGAAATCTTACTGTGGCCTTTCAATACTTAAAGGAGGCTTGTAAGAAAGATGAAAAGAGAGTTTTTAATAGGACCTGTAGTGACTGGGCAAGGGGAAACGGTTTTAAACCAGAAGATGGTAGATTCAGACTCGTTATAAGGAAGACATTTTTTATTATGAGGTTGGTGAAACACTGGCACAGGTTGTCCAGAGAGGTGGTAGATGCCACATCTCTGGAAACATTCAAGGTCAGTTTGAACAGGGCTCTGAACAACCTGATCTAGTTGAAGATGCCCGTGCTCACTGCAAGGGGGTTAGATTACATGGCTTTTAAAGGTCCTCTTCCAACTCAAATCATACTATGTTTCTGAGATGCTGTGATTTTTCCATAATACTATTCTCAATAGTCTGAATTACAGACAATGTCATATGGAATTAAAAGACAGACAACATTCTTTGATTTTACCAAGACCAGTATTTAACTGATACATGGACATACTGCTTGAACTTTGAAACTAATGGAAGAAGTTTAGGGTGATCCATTTCCCAGGGCTTTGAACTTCTTCAACTACTTTCCCCCAAACATCCCAAAATAGTAGTAATTACTGCATATTTATCTACTTCAATTTGAGGCCCACAAACAGTAAGACATGAAAAAAAAAAGACACAGAACTAATGAGGTGTCATTGCTATTCAGCATTCAAATTGTTAAAAATTGTACACAGCTGTGTACTGTAAGCTCAACTATCAGACATCTGCAAGGAAGTAAACCTTATAGTAAGCCTTGGTTTCTAACAACATACCATATGCAATCAAAGATTTTGCCAAGATCAAAAGAGTTACCAAGCATCTTTACATAGATTCTCAGAGAACTCCTACTGTCCTCTTGTAATGAGTGTGGATATGGGTAAACTCCCTCTCTTTTACCACATTGCCCATTTCCATAAAACTTGTAAAAACACAACTGTCCTACATGACTCTCATGTTGTGGGGAATCACACAGAAGCATCCACATTGAAGGCCATTAAGAACATTATTTTCTATCTTGGATCTGTACACTAATGGGGATAAAACACAAGGTTAATAGATGAGACTTTCCTCAATAAGCATCAGAACAGCCTCAAATGCCATCACCACACTTTGTAGAAAAGACAGTTGTGTAAGAACAAGAAAAAAAGAAGACAGAGGCAAAGAAAGCTAAAAAGTTTCTCTATAATATCAAGAGAAGGATTTGAAACATAAACGTGTGGGGTGTTTTTCAACCATTTCTTTGAAAAGCCTGCTCCACAACAGAACTCCAGTTTCCTCTGTTTACCTTGTAACAGTTGCCAGAATGCACCAAAAAGGGAGCAGAGATCTGTAGTCTTGCACCTGACACAACTGCTACAAATACCATCAGTTTTTTGCAGAGCAACGTAACCTGGAAGTCTGATCTCAGTCAGCAGTAAAAAGAAGAAAACAACTCAAGAGCTACTTGTATTTGAAGCATTTGCAACTTATGCACTTGTATTTTCAGCCCATAATTTGATCCATCTTCACCTTCAAACTAAGTGCTCTGTTCATTTCATGACAAGCAAAATCCTCTGAATGCAAACACAAGTAAATTTTTTCTCTCAGATGATCATGTTTGCATCTCATTGAAATCAATGGGAAAGTTTTAAGTGATGAAGAATGTATCTCTGCAAAGTCAGTCCTATTTTACTGAACTGATATTGACAGGTTCAATGGAAAAACATTACTTTCCAATGATCAAGGTCCCAAACTGGGATTTAGCTGACAAATTACAGGCTTATGTTCCAATCACAACCCACTGAAAAGTCACAAAGCAGTTCAGGCTGTCACTTTGCTGATCTGTACCTGTTTTTTCCTTCCAGCATTTCTATTATCCTATGTAGCAAACACATAAATACAACAAACAAGGACCATCTCTTAACAGATTTCTACAGTGTGTCACACCAAGAGCCTAATTTTGTTTGGTATTCATCAGGTGTTGCTGTAATATAATTAATCAGGCAATAATCAAAGCCTTCTCTGCTGAACTTATGAATACTAGTAGGTGTTACCAGTGAAATCTCCAACAGACCCAGCTGCTCATAGAATGTGTGACCTTTTAGGCTGCAAACAGAAAGACACAAAGAAGGCACGAAGCAATGTGTTTCTATTTTCTGCCATAAAAAACATCGGAAAGAACTTTGATCAGCACTTGACCAAACACTGCAGATAATAAAAAACCTATCTCCAGTTTCGCTTGGGTTCTTCTCTGTTGTAATTTCTTCACCAAAGAATTAAAATACATCATATTCTAATGCATTTACATTTACAACAGCCACATAAGACAGGAAATAAGTAAGTGGGGTTTTTTTTTAGAGACGTGAACTGAAATCTGTGCTAGACTTACTCCAATTACTTGCCCCAGCCAGATCTGAACCTTAGCTTTTTTCCAATATATGACTGACAGACACTCCAGAAAGCAAGGGGATTCAGTTATTTGCCCTGCCCTGTGGTATCAGTTCAGCCTTTCCAAACAAATCTGAGGGGAAATATTTGGAGATCTGTTACATGGAGCTACTGACTCTTTGTGGAACAAAGGGGCTCTGAAATCATACAACATATACAGTATGGATAAACCTTGGCTATGCTGGTCCATTGGACTCTGTGGTGGGCCCATTCCAGGGTGAGGTGGTCGCATACTCTTCATGGAGCCACAGTGAACATCTTCAACCATTCCTTTTTCGTGCAAGCCATCAATCGACTGTGAAAACAAAGTAAGTATTTACACAGAGATAGTATATAAATCAACTAGAAAAATCCAAACAAATGCATGAAGAGTTAAAAACTTCTCCTAGCAGTCATTCAGAATAAATACAATGGGAACCTTTACCCTGGAACCACACATCTGGGTAAGCACAGAACACTATTAGACTGCTTGCCCCCTGTGTTTCCTTTTTGCCTTTTCTTTCTCCTTATGAACTGTTTGGCAATGTCAGGGAGGCAAACTGTCTGAATACAAACACATGAACTGTATTAACCTCATATTACAAAGCAGTGTAACACACACCAACTTATGAAAGTACAGCCTGTGGCTTGGCTTGAGTTATTTTTAGCTCAAACTTTGCCCTTTCAGTCACTGCTCTACTGGAATGTCCCAAATGCTGTTTCACTTCAAAAACAAAGATGACATTGCAGGAGGTAACCTCTTCCTTGCAGGAAAAAACTAGGATAGGCAGTCAAGGAAGGGAAAATAATACCTGTGTTCCCTACAGCTCCTGTCACCTCAAAAACTACAGCTCCCATGGTACTTGAATGCAAAAGAGGTCTAAATGCCTTCTTTAGAGTGTAAAGGAAAGACAGTTTGGGGTCAGAAAAACATTCCCAAGACATGCTGGGCACTGAAAAAGGCTCCACAATGGAAACTGAAGGACTCTGAAAGTGAAAGTAACGAGAAAGTAACAACACAAGGTATCTTATGAAAACTATGAAGTTTTACCTGAAACCAAAAACTACATCAGATCCCTAACTAGGGAAGAGATTAAGGTTATTAACTTCAAACTTAGAGCTCTGAAAGGCTTTGTATTAGGAAGGCACAGACTGGACCACTTACCTAGCACCTCTCTACAGAAATATGCAGCTCTGCCCTTCTCTGTAACACATACACACCAAACACTGTTCTTGCAAACCCTACTGTGAATGGAGACCTTGCAGACTGTTTTCTCTAAATGCACACCTACTTATTGAGAATTATTTTTACAAAGAGAGTTAAAATAACTTACTCCAGTGGAAAACACATAGAGTTAGTAACAGTGTGCAAGAAGCTACATCAACTCACAGACAAGAAAGTGTCACATTTCTTCTTTTTGAGTAATTTGTTGCACATTACTCAATTTTAAGCAGAACTGAACAAAGATCATCCTTTCTACAAAGGACAAATATTCTAAATTTCCATTTTAAACCCTTCATATAAATTTGCCACTTTCCATTGCAATAATCAGATCTGACTGAAAGTACCTTTAAAAACACAGATTCTGTTGCTGTTGCATTTCAGAATCATTTTTTATTAGAACTATGGGTTAAAAGAAGGAAACTTATAGAAAGCTAAAATGGATTTTTCATGTTTCATCAAATCACTTAGTTGTCATGACAATATTTATATTGTCATGACAGTACAAAAATATCTGTGAAAAGAACTTGTATCAGAAAAATACCCACTACTCAAGAAGCTATTTTTGTTTACTAGAACTTGGGATACGGATACAAAAGTACAGACAGATGACTGACACATAATGAACAGCTCCACTTTGCTAACCAAGTAAATTCCAGTGCCCTTTCCTGAGGCATGAAGATCCCTCCCTCTCTCTTCATCCCTACTTACAAAGATAACCAACGCAGAAGAGGATACTCAGTTCACATTTTGCCTGACCAAGCTCTACAGAAACTGAAACACCTGTAAAACTGGATCCATTCGTATTTTGTCATGGTACATGTCAAGAACTAAATCCTTAGGGCCACCAAGAAAAGGTCACACTGTGCAGGAAATTTGACCTGATTTCCAGAAGAGAAGACTAGCTGTACACGTTTGTGGTGTGACTGCAAGCAAGGGTTTCACTGCACTACTGGGTGGTGACCATGAAAATTCTGTGAATGCAGGCAGCTCTGACAGGACTAAGGTGGGACACAGCATGCACCCATCAGAAGCACCAGCACAGACAGGGTGGGGAAAGGAGCTGGTGTTGACAAAGAGCAGCAGAGAAAAACAAGTATGTGGTCTTTCATGAAGAAGACTTAAAAAAAACCACCCCAAAACACCAAACAAACAGGAACAGGTAGGTAAAGACATGACCATACAAAAACACATCAATTGAAGGAATGCTTGTATGGAAAAAATGGATTGAAAGAGGAGTTTTTTGTAAGGTAAGTATTTGAAAAAAAAAAAAAAAAACAACACAAAAATAGAAAAACAACCATGGCAAACTAACTGCTTCACATCTAATAGAAGAGAGTCTAAATTTAGCCTGAAAGGAGATTGCTTCTGCATGTTTACAGAAATTCTGCTGTGAAAAAGAAAGAAAATTAAATACATTACAAACAGACTAGGAAAGGTAGAACTCATTAATCCGTTTTTTACTAGCAAAGATACAAAAGATAAGATGGCATAAACTTCTCTGAAGCCAAAATTAGTTTCAATGATCAGTTTTGCTAATATATGCAGAGACTGATACTTCCAAGAATATATTTCATCTAAAAGCACCTCTACTGACTCAAAAAATAGGGAACAGCAGTGTATTACAAGAACTCAATAGCAGTTATTTTTTCATAACTTTTTTGAATCACTGCACAGTTACAGCATTCATGATAACTTCAAATCTATGCAACAGGTTAAAAATTACAGAAGGTATCTTACGAATAAATTATTAAATTATTAAAGCTGTGTTCCACAATGGCATTGTTGGGATATGAAACGTCACCTATACTACCAATAAAGTCCCACTATCATCAGCTCAGGGTACTTCTTAAATTTATTCTTTTTATATGACAGAACAGATAGCAACACAAAGTTGATATATATTCAACTTTGAGCCGACATTACTATTTTGACTGGTCCTCCTAAGTAAGGGCAAGCACTGAACAGGCCATATATACAAATAGTGTTTCTAGAAAATAAAATGAGGGATGCACTTCAACTGTATGCAAGCACACACCTACAGACGTGGCAGACTTACGTAATATCTAACGCATAAGGAACATTTAGCCTACACCTCTTTTACTCTGAATTTAGTAACTAAGGTCTTGTCACAGACAGTATTGCATCACAATTTGATCTATTTCCAGGTAAACTGTCAGATTATGATGACTTTTTTTTTGTTTAAACTCACCTTCTTAAAAAAACAAAAGAACAGCCTTAAAATCAAAGACTGAGATAAAGCATCAAACTAGATTTCTTCTAGACCATGCATTCTTGAAACCAACAAAATTACACAGACCAAACAGCAATGTGTTCTCATGTAACTGCCACACACTACACAGTATAAATGAATGCACCATGGATATGTGGTTGCAACATGACTGTGGCTGTCTTTGCAGTAGAAAATTGGCCAACAACTCCATTAACCTCTTACAAATCACTAAAGCACCATTTTGCATGAGCTCTCTGTTGATTTTTCAAGGCTGACAGCAATATTTCCTTCTTCCACTAATGTAAACACATACAACAAAAATAATACAGGGAACATGCCTGTTGATAAAAAGGTGTTATTTCCCAGACCATGACAGGACTTCTGCGATTCTAAGAATGTCTAATGTGCACAGATCGTTAGACAATGTCTGAAATGAGAAACTGTTTGCCCTCTGTTCACATTTAAATGAACAACTAATGTATTTAGTAAAAGCTACAACTTTTGTGAAAAGAATTTTTTCTCTCACTGTTTCTCTCACCAAAAACAGTAATACTGCCCATGACATCATAATCTTTCACAGTCAGTAATCACTTACAGTACATCCCATTATAAATTTGCAAATGATTATGCACCAAGTTACAATTAAATGGAAGTGAAAATAAACCAAGAGCCTACAGCACTCTATCCACCCCCCATGTGAGAACCATGCAAGTTGAAAAGCTATACTGTTGTCATAGCTAAGAGTTAAGCAGTTAAAATCATGTGGCCTGGCTGGTGGATAAGAGTGTACAGAAGGCTCTATCACAGAAACATGGCTGAGGTTGGAAGGGACCTCTAAGGACATCTAATTCCAACCCCCCTGCAGTGGACAGGGACATCTTTCAGTAGACCAGGTTGCTCAGAGCCTCATCCAGCCTGGCCTAATCTTTCAGGGATGGGGCACACACAACTTCTCTGAGCAACCTGCTCCAGCGCCTCACTACCCTCACAGTATAGAAATGGCTTTGACCACTTCCAGAGCGGGGCAGTTTTCAAACTCTTGTTCAGTTTGAAGCCGTTCCCCCTTCTCCTGTCACTACATGCTCTTACAAAATATCCCTCTTCATCTTTCTTGCAGTCTCCCTTTAGGTACTGGAAGGCTGCAACTAGGTCAACACAAAGCCTTCTCTTCTCCAGGCTGAACAATCCCAATTCTCTCAGCCTTTCCTCATAGGAGAGGTGCTCAGTATCTAATCATCTCAGCAGCCTCCTCTGAACTCGCTCCAGCAGATCGATGTCCTTCCTGTGCTGAGGGCCCCAGAGCTGGATGCAGTACTCCAGATAGGGTCTCACCAGAGCACAGCACAGTGCTTCTGCCCTTTGACCTACTGCCCATGCTGCTTTTGATGCAGCCCAGGACACTGTTGGCTTTCTGGGCTGCCCGTGCACATTGCTGGCTCCTGTCCAGCCTCTCATCCACCAGCACACCCAAGACCTTCTCAGCAGGGCTGTTCTCTATCTGTTCATCCCCCAGCCTGAATTGCTATGGGGAGTTTCCCCAACACAGATGCAGCACCTTGCACTTGGTCTTTTTGAACCTCATGAGATTCCCATGGGCCCACTTCTTGAGCTTGTCCAGGTTACTCTGGATGGCATCCTGTCCTCCAGGGGTGTCAAGTGCACCACTCAGCTTGGTGTCATCTGCAAATCTGCTGAAGCTGCACTCGGTCCCTTTGTCATTAATGCACATACTAAGTAACACCGGTCACAGCAGAGACCCCTGAGGGACACCACTTGACCCTGATGTCCATTGGGACTTTTGAGCCATTAACCACTACCCTTTGGATGCGATCATCCAGCCACTTTCTTATCCATCTGAGCAGTCCAGTCTGCTCACTGAATCCACCTCTCTCCAATTTAGAGAAAAAGATGTTGTAGGGGACCATATCAAAAGCTCTACAGTTCAGATTAAAACCACGTAACCTCATGTTCTGCCTCCAGAGGAGCTCGAATGTGGATGCCAAGAAAAAGTAAGATTAGGGCAACCACTGTAACAATGCTTTCTTTTAATATCTTCCAAGTATTTTTCCCTCATGAGACTCTCTGAGACTGTTACGGTTTGTCCATTTAGCACTACCCCTGACAGACTTCTTAAGTACTTCTGCTTAAATGTAGCTGTTATGCATCCAGGATACACTTCAGTAGAATTTGGAACTGGAAGCATTTTCCTGGAAATGTGATTGATAGTCTAAAGACTACTTAAGAAACTAGCGAGAGAGAGTGAATTTATTGTTTCTGTCAAAACTGCATTATGTAAATCAATAGCAAATTTTCCTGAGGAATGTTTTTCTAGTTCCTAAGTGAATACACAGTCTTTAAGTTTCATATTAACATGGTTATGTAAACATACTTTAGGAATTTTGATTTATTAGTATTAATTTCAGTGTCTTATGTATTGATACTTCGGATTTTTTAAAGACTTCTATGCATTATATTATTGCTTATAAGCCAGTCAGACATCTAACATGTAACAAAGGTGTTTCACTACTTTGTGAATTTTAAAAGAACCACATCCCATTGCACACATGGGATGTTACCCCACAAGCAATTGTGCAACCAGGACACTTTTCGTGCAATCTCCCACTTTTACTGCATATCATTAGGAAAAAAAAAGTGTTATGTCGTGACTTGAAAGTCAAACTGCTTTACATAGCACAAAACAGAGAGAAAATGTTCATCTGGCCAAACTGCAGGTGGCTGACCAGTTTTTTAATTACATGGAACAACACTTAAGTAATATTTGCAAAATAGTTGAGGCACCTTCCCACAGCATTTCTTAAACAGACTCTTTCACCAGTTATCACAATACACTATTTCTGAGACTGCACAGAAAAACAGACACAAAACCTCATCTAGATTGAAAAATTAACCAAGATTTAATTTTTCTATTTTTTTTTCATCTATATCAGCTCAACAGACCCATTTTCTAGCTGGAACCTGTGAAGTGGTAACCTAGTGGACAAAGAGGCTGTTGCTACTGAAACTAAGGCCTGCGAAATTACAGCCTTTGTCCCATTATCAAAATCAAGGTACAGAAAAGGGAAAGTAATTTACTGTAACTACACTGACTGGTCATCTTTGAATTAGCTATTCAAACTCTTCATGGCGTGTTTTTCAAAACATTTAAATGCCACCTCAATGGGAGAATTTCTACTCTGGCTCACAGAACTTTGTGAGATGCTTTCTGAAATCTCTAAAAGAACTCTGTGGGATGACATTTGTTGGGTTTGTTTCTAATACTAACATAGGATTAAATGGCTGATATAACAGGATATATCAGTTAAGAACAATGTGTGGAGCATTCAACCATTCTATGAAAAATCCCTGGTGCCACCCTCTTCTTCTACAGCAACAGAATCTCTTAAAAACAGAAAGAAATCAGAGAAGTGAAGGGCATAGGAATTCTAGCTATGAAGTTTGATGACACGAGATCTGGAAGCTTGGGCTGTCACTGACCCTACAAACAAGGAAATGTCAATTGCAAATGTCTAATATGGTTGATAGCTAAGTCACATGCTTCAAGATTCAAATACAAAATTTCTAGTTACTGCATGTACTTTACAACAGCTCAGTACAAATGGGCAGCCAGATCATGGCCTCCTTCACTTCAGCTGTCTTGGTGCTACTAGAAATGCTAACTACACAGTTTTTCATGTAAAAGATGGCAGAGCCATATCCCTAGTGACTGGACATCGTTTTAATGAATGAAACTGATACATATGTGACAATATCAACATGAAAAGTAGGCCAGTTCATGATGAAGAATAAAATATGTTCGTATTACTTTTAAACTACTTTTATTATAAGTTTATTTTCTCTATGTGCACATAACTCCAAGTGGAATCAACAAGCTACCAAAATATTTTCAGTATCTTGGCTGCATAAGATGTTACTACTTATTTCTGAGTAGAACATCAGTGAAACTGAAATTATCCCAAGCTCCAAATCTCTGGAATACAACGAAACAAAAATGACAATACATAGAGACTGTTCTCATAAAGGAATTTCCACACAAGTATTTCCTCAAAGTAAAAGACACTAATGATAGTTGAAGTACACATGCACGTATACATGGTGTATAACACCAACCACGGAAGTCCAACTATTGACATGTTTTATGCAATAACTCCTAAACCTTATTTTTCATCAATATGGAAGAGTAAACAAATTTGTAAGCACAAATCCTTCAAGACACGGAAATACTAGTTTTTAAAAAAAGAACAATTTAATGTGAAACTAAAAAGTACCCCAGAAAAAAAATCACGGTATGTCCAAACAGACAAGAAGAAATAAGAAGGGAAAAAAAGTGGTTAGAATGGTCTACCTTAAGGCTTTAACACTATAATTCGTTCTTTCTCCCTGGTAAATTTACCTTACTGAAAAGTTCAGTTTACAAATCAAGATTTGCAAACTACTAACTCTATAGTTCAAAGCAGTCTACTAAGAACAAGGAAACTGTGTTTAATCTGATCTATACAAAATCTTAATAACTAGAGACAGAAGTAGGAGTGTAGCTGAAGTTTTGCAGGTGACACATGATGTGTAATAACAAATATGCAGGTCTAAATGTAGTTTAAGTAGGGTTTTTTTCATCAGTGAAGAGAATTCTAGGAAAAAAGAAGTTCACTTGTAACAGACTATTACCTTATGCATTTGGTGCATGCCTTCCTGTGGATAATCAGTGGGCCCCATTGTCGGCATTGGATGCGGGACACTGGGAGGACCAGGACTCGGCCCCATCATGCTGTGAACTGAGCCAGGAGATGGCCCTGGTCCTGGGCTAGGTCCTAGAATTGGTCCAGGTGAAGGTCCTGGTCCAGGAGAAGGACCAGGATGAGGCATGGCGCCAGGGTCTGTAGGCGTGGACATCTATTTTCTGTCTCCTTTTCAATTAGCAGAATAGCTCTAATAACAAAAACAAAACAAAACAAAAACAAAACCACAATTTCTATGTGACATTAGGGGCATTGAAAAAAACTTCATAAAATATACTGGCAATTGCTACACACACACACACACACACACACACATATACACATAAGCTGTCATCAGCAGAAAATGCTTAAATAACCCTTAATATTGCCCATTAGCTTGACCATCTTCTAAAAGCTCACTAGGAGGATAACGATCCTGATAGTTCCGCCCATTTCTGGATGTTTATATGTTACTCACAAAACAAACTGACTCGTACACTACATGAAACATCTACCAGAAAAAACAGCAGTTGAACTGACTTGCTATCATCGGACGAGTCACGCAGGGTCAAGCACAATACCACCAAAAGCAAGAAAGATAGCCGGGCATCTCTGTAACATGTGTGTTCAAAAAGCTCTCCCTAACAGCTATGACTGCCCTGAAATTTATACTTATAAAATGCCTGTTAATGCAGCAAAGGATTATTAAGACCATTTTCTGACATTTTTTCCGTTCCCCAGCGAACGCTGAGACCCACGTGGGGTCGGCAGCCTGCCCTGGAGTGGCTGACTCGGCGGGGTCGGAGCCAGCAGTGACAGCGGCAGGTTTAAACGCGACCTAACCGCATCCAACCTCC